AAAAGGTCGAGGACTAACAGGATAACTGTCTTGAGATTTTGGACTTCGGCCTCCCAAACATCGTACTTCACTATCTGTACCATTCACCATTTCTATAAACTGACGTACTCTAAACAAAGAAAAAGAAAAGTTTACTTAGATATCTTCAAATTGTTATTTACTTATTTATAGGAACAGATGTCTGAAAGGAATTATTTTAAGAACTTGCATGTATCAGTAAGTTTGGCCTTTACATAATATGCTAAAAATACTAAATATAGTTTCAAATACTGTGTTCCTTAGAATTTAAAATTTTCCAAAAAATAAAGTACAATGAAAAAGATTCTGCATCTCTTAATCAAGACATACTAAGAGAATGAAAATCTATCTGTAACTATAATAAAAAGAATAAAAATGGACTCCATTTTTAAAAGCTAAAGATAATCAGAAACAATAGTTGCATTTGGTAGTGCTCAAGAACATAATGCACATACAAAGCAGAGTCTTACCTTGCCACCCTGCCTCATCACATTTGCAACCTCTTAACCCAAATGGTTCACATTTAAACTTTATGCTAAAACGAATAATACTGACAATTGGCTTACAGCTGGTTTTGGTAATTGGGAAGTTAAATCTTAAACTAAATAATATTTCAGTTTTAAAGATTTACAGGACCAATTAAAAGATGCCAAGTTAGGATGACTATTATAAACATAAAACAGAACAGAAAATATAAGTGCAAGAGAGGATATGGGAAAGTGGAGTTGTACACTGGTGGTGGGAATGTAAAATGTACAGGACCATGGAATTTAATTTCCTCAAAAAATTAAACCCAGAATTAATATATGGTCAACAATTCCACTTCTGGCTATATATATAATATATATATATATATGCAAAACATTTGAAAGCAGGGACTCAAACAGGTATGTGTACCTCCATGTTCACAGCAGCATTATTCACAATAACCAAAAGTGGAAGCAACCCAAATGTGCTCTGACGGATAGACAAAATGTTGCATATACATACAACGGAGTATTATTCAGTTTTCAAAAGGAAGAAAATTCTGACAAATGCTACAAGATGAATTTTGAGGACGTTATGCAGAGCGAAACAAGTCAGTTAGAAAGGACAACTATTTTAAGAGTCTACTAAAAACAAGGTACACCTATAGTCAAAATCAATTCATGGAGACAAAAAAATAGAATGGTAGTTATCAGGAGCTGGGAGGAGGGAGGAAGGAGAAGTTAGTGTTTTCTGGGCATCAAGTTTCAGTTTGAGATAAAGAAAAAGTTCTGGAACTGGATGGTTGGTGATAACTGCAGAACTGTATACATAAAAAAGATAGATGTTATGTTAGGTATATTTTACTACAATTTAAAAATAGGTGCCAGACTTACTACAGGTTAATTTGCAGGTAGAAAAAAAAGATACCTAGCTTCTAAAAAAAATTTCACATTTTTAAATGCAGAGATAGAATGAGAGAAAAAAATGATAGCAAAAGATGACATCTGCTTATAATCCTCAACACCAAAGTATTTTAAATAACCTGTTACTTAAATGTGACATTATGAAATTATAGGTAAATATTACAAGGTATAAAAATGAAAATTATTACAAGTTGAAAATAATTTGGTTCTACATTAACGCACACATAGAAATGTAACATCTGTTATTAAACAAACTCACTTTAATGTAAAAAGGAGATTAGGATTTCTTTCAAGTAAACTTGGGTATAGCTGTTGTGTTGTTTCAATGGCTTCTCCCATTCTTCCTGCTAACACCAATTTCTGAATTCCTATTTAGAAAAAGAAAGCAAAAGATTAATTTTTAAAGAGCGGACACATAAATTTAATGGATCCAAAAAAAGTGTTAGTAAAAAAATATTTTTAAAAAATCTTATTTGTTTAAACAAAGTATCATTGTTTCACATCCTTGTTACTATTTTGACAGCACAGGATTTCTCCCCTTAGGTATGGTCACCGTAAGTCTCCCACCATTTAAGCAACCCTAGTCCTCCATCACAGTCCACTGTGTTCCCAACTTCTCAACCTAACTCCCCCATCCTGTAATAAATCTTTAAATTATTATAATCAAGTTCCATTTCTTTTTCTAAAATCATTTTCTAGCTATCATTTGAGGGGAAATTTCTAATATTAAAAAATTAGAAAACCAATCACCTTCATTAAACTATTTAAAAAGTCACAAACATACAATAAGGAAAAAAAAAAATACCTGGGAAGCAATATTTAAGTATTAAATACTAAGATGAATGTTTGTGGCATAGACTGTGGTTTCATAGGTACATAATTCTCTTTATACTTATCAAGTTGTATACTTTAAATATGTACAGCTTTTAATGTCAATCATACCTCAATAAAGTGGTCAAAACAGGAAGCATTAAAAGAGATAATATTCAAGATGTCTGATTAAGTATGATAACCTTTGAGCCCAACACTAAAGAATGCTAGCACCGGTATATGATACAAATTCAACAGATACTCATTCAGCATTCCCTCTATGTCAGAAATTTGTTAAATTAGGTGAAGATACAAAATGAGTAACTGATCACCACCTCGTTTGCCAGAGCTTATAACATAGTGAGAAAGATAAGCATACAATCAGTTACAACACAACTGTAATCAGTGTTATTATAGCAGTTTGATCTATAAAAAAAATTATTTTCATCTATCGTGATTTCACCCATCATGTTTTGTTTGGTCGTATCCTCCCGAATGGACTAACCACACCAATTTAGGATGGCTAACTGTGGAACAGTTATCAAGTTGGTTTGCCCTGGTTTGAAAAGACTTTATAGCTCTGGTCCTAAGCACTGGGGCCTAGTAATAAATATTTAAGATCAATACAATCTTAAAGTTAGATACAACTAAAATGGAAAAATATTTATTCTTCCACATATTATCTCCACTAACATATCAATACCACTTTACAATTAAAAAAAATATATATAGTATTAGATGTTTACTTCCTGAAAACTCAAACATTTTAAGGAAAAAATGGTAAGCATTTCTTAAAAAAAAAAATTCCCCCCAAATTATCTTTCTACATTCAAAACATTGATACAGTCCTATGTTAAATTTTAAAGGTGACCTTCAAAAACATCAATGAAAATAAATTTTGGAGGTATCCATTTTAAATTTATTTGAAATTTTAATTAAAAAAAATTTCTACAAATCAATGTAACCAAATCTGTAATCTGAAAACAACTGTTAGCCATGCACCACAGTGTCCTTACTTTGTCTATTCTTAATGGAAGCTAATTCTTCTAGAACGGTCTGGTCTGTAGATCTGGCAAAGGCCTCTGCTGTGGCACAGTACCCATGGTGGACTAAATAAGATGAAACCATTCTTAAAAAAAAGAAACACACATCTTTTAGTCAAGCGAATACATACTTCATACTGTAACTTACATAAACAAGATCTACTCCACTGCTCTAAAACCTATTCCCTTGAAACAATTAAAGCTTAATAACGTCAAGTTTAAGCTTAGTCCTAAAAAATCATTCTGTAGTCTTCATGTAGTATACTTACAAAAAGTAACTGCGAATGTTACGTTGAAACTATTCTCTCTAAAAATAAATATTACCGGAGAATCAAGGACATGAAATGATTTTCTGTGATTCTTGGATCTTACCCTTCCCAAGCCCTTCTCCACTATTTCTAATTCTTACATATTTTATCCCGCTAACCTAATTTCTATTTCACCTTTTTTATATGACCTAGGGTGTTAGTATTTTGTAAAATAAAGCAGTATGAAATAGAGCAGATTAACCCTGTGTTCCAGAATTCATCCACTTTCTTCATTCACCAGTTATATGAGACAGGATTACAAGGTGTGAACACAAGAAATATTAAGGCGTACCCTGAGAGAGAATCCTCCACAACAAAGTTTATGAAGGTAATAATACTTATCAATGAGTCGGTCTTGTAAAACCAAATTAATTAGTATGGCTGTGCAAAGGAGATTAATTAGTCAAATATGGTTTACATGCAAGTGGCCATTACATCCAAAGAACAAGATTTATTTTTTAAAAAGTGACCAAGTAGTTAAAACACGGATTTATATCTAGCCACAAAATGATAAAAACCTGTTGATTCAAAACAACATTAACTCGAACAACCAATATACCAAAATGCAACTTTTAAACCAAACCTACCTCGACCAGGCACTAGTAAAAGCCAGTCAGAAAATGACAGGAAGCAGTGGGTTCAGGAAAGGGGGGACTAAGGAGGAAGGGGGGAAACTTTCTAAGAAATAAGATCTTTCTTTTTCATTTCATCCAACTGTTCAAATTTAAGAAGAAAATCTTAAGGAAGAGGAAAATCTTTTAAAATGAATCTCCCAGGAGGTCAGGGTGAATGTCAATTTTGTGCAGAATGGGGTAGGGTGGCAGCCCTCACTGAACTACGCCCACAGGATTAAAATAAATAATGTTTCCTCTAACTACGACCTACCGTGATCATGACGCGCAGTAGCAACCACTTCTGAAGCACTGAGTTTGTAACCACAAGACAGCAATCTATCCTACCTAGCTCTAACTCTTGGCAATTATGGCATTCCTGAGTCAGGGTTCACTGTTCTTTCAACTGTGCTACACAAAATTACTATTATCAAGGCTTTGTAACTTAATCTGATAACAGTAACTCTAGGGAAGAAGCGTATTTTCAAAATCAGTGTGTCTTCTCCAAAAAAATAAATACATTTTATTAGATTTTTTAAATTTTACTGTGCCTAAATGATGGTGTCTGAAGCCTTTGCTATTTTCTTGGGTTAGATAACAGTAGTGAAAATAACTATTTAACTTACTAGTATTTATTTAGTTTTTAAGTTTATACGATTTGAGGCTATAAGAACTACCATTCAGTCCCACTGACACACAGGTGTCAACTTGAGCCTTTCCGCAATGGTATAATGTAGAAAGTAGACTGCCATGAGACTTTAATTTTCCTGCTGACTTCCATGATGAAACTTTACTTTTTCATAAAAAGTTCCTCAATAACTGCTCACATTGGCAGCACATACACTAAAATTGGAAGGACACAAGAAATTAGCATGGCGCCTGAACAAGGATGACACACAAATTTGTGTGAAGTGTTCCATATTATTTAACTTCCAAAACATTTTGAAGATGTCTTGCAACATAGTTGTGCTGTATGTGCATTAAAAAGTGTATTCAAAATTATATTTAGAGGAGTAACAAATTCCACTCTGTATATTTAAGGGGAAAAAACCTCCCCAATAAAACATCTTGAGAATTTTTGGTAAAGATGGAGGTAAATAAAGGTTATTCACTTTAAAGTACTTTTACTAACATTTTTTATTTGTTCTGCTGCTGCCTGAATCCTCCACCACGGAATAAATACTAAATCCTAAATATTTACCCTCTATTTAGGAAAACTAAATCCATATTCATTGTTCTTCAGTCTTCATTCCCTTTTTCTTTTAGCATACATAAGCAAATGGTACTAATAATAATTAGTTAAGGTTTTAAAAAATTCCTGAGGCTGAAAGTTTTGGTCAGATATTCTTGCATAAGACAATTACAACTCTTTGAATCTACAAGATAATATTAAGCAAAAAAGTAGTAATAAATATTTGCTTATAGGATAAACAAAAACAGTTGACATTATTCTAACAGAGTAAAATTAGCCAAATCCTAAATTGTGAAATACACATATCAAGTCTGCATTTCAATATTTACAGGATTATTGTGTTGTTATGTTTATGTTCACACAACATGTGAACTACTGAACAGTACAGTCAAGTTCATGTCTAAAAACCACAGATCCTGAATAACACAATCTAAATTATCTTTCCAAATTTCTTTTGCACTGACACTGTTAATAGCTGTATCATGTCTCCTATGAAAAAGATTAAATCCTACCATTAGGGACAGTAAATGAATTAACCTAAACTAAGCCATCTAGTGTCACTTAGTGTGCCACCAAATCAGACATTATTTTTAATTGTTTAGATTTATTTTTATAGAAATTAAAATACGAGCAATACATTAAAATCATTAGGTTATAAATTAGAAGATTAAAAATCTTCAGCAAATATTCTTTTATACCAAAAGAACAAGATGTTTTTTATAAGTATACTCTTGAATAACGTCAATTCAAATTTCTTCACTTACTTCTGGATCATGGTCTGCCACTCTCCTTCTCGATCTCCAATAGGAAAGCGGTCTATCTGAGCCTGTATTTTGGTTCTCCACTCTCGCATGTAGTCTTCTATATCAAACACGAAAGGATGTTGCCCAAAATTGGCATCAACAACTTCTCCTGGAGTTTGGAGTCCCACAGTTGGATATAAATTTGGCTGCGAAACAACATATTCCACTAAGCATTTTATGCTAAAGCCTTATTCATGCTTCCAAATGCTGTTTTTATGATAACAAAACTACAAATTTACTTCATGAATATTTTAAAATCTCAAACAAAAGCTAGTAGAGGAAGATAAAGCAAATTATCTAACATACATAATATCCTGAATGAAAAACATCACTACCAGTAATCTAATCACAAGAACCTAAACCACCTATTTTTTCAGAAACCGTGTGGTGCCACTTAGATAATAAATTAACACATAATTCTTAGTCTTAAGAATGCGTTGCATATAGTAAGAAATTCAAATGTAAACACACAAAACAGGTTTATTCTTGTTATCTTAAGCTTTTCTAGAAACTTCATGTGAAAGCAGATTATCACAGATACAAACCTAACCAGTTCCACATTAATTTCATTTATCTGTGTATCTGAGATACATGTAAAAATGGATGGTGTGGGGCCTCCCTGGTCGCGCAGCGGTTGAGCGCTGGGTTGCAAAGCTGCCCGCAGCCTCTGCAGTGCCGGTTCGATGTCCCACATGGCACGCAGACCTCTCCTGCCTCCCTGCCGCCCGCTGCTCCCCTCAGCAGTGTACTTCGGTCCTTCTGCCTGCTCTGCTCCCCGCTCTGGCTCTGGTGAATTCTCTCACCCTCCCGCACTTCTGACTGTACCCTGTGCTTGTATAAATAAATAAATCAATCTTTAAAAATAAAATAAAGACATCTGTCAAATTTCTAATCCTATTAAAAAAAGGATGGTGATGAGAACTTAATTGCCATTAGGGTGGGAATTCTCTATATTAAAAAGACTCAAATGTAAATATTTTAAGAAAAAACGGGCTTAAGCATTTAATTTTATAAAGAAATGCTGTTAGATAAAGTCCAAGATTTCAAGACTAAGCAGTGAAGTTTAACAGCTTTGACTACACAAAAAATACAAAAGTTCTCCTTTTGGTCTGTCACTAGGTATCATATCTGAAGAGGGAATGAACTACTGAATGTCTACTGACAGAGCTTAATCATCATATACAATAATCCTAGTCAAGTAATTATTATATACACACAAAGAAACAGAAATTGAGGATTAGGGAATTAATGAACTTGCTCACATTCATTCTGTACTATGGTATACGTGGGACAGGAATACAAATCTAACACCAAACTCCTTAAATCTGATACCAAATTTAAGTTCAATTTTTCTCCTCCTAATTCCAAATCCTACTTCATCTTTAGTCCTGTGCTTATGCCTATTTCTTTGCTAAGGCTTACTAGTCTGTATTTTCAGCACAAAATCAGGTAAAGACTAAAAGGGGATTATTTGTATGCACATATAAGATAAATAGTTATCACAAAAAATAAAAAATGTGTTCAAATTCAACTCATCAACCAAGCAGCCAAAGTACTTAACAAAGGAGTTAAGTACTGTGTCAAAATATTAAGAAATATAATCAAGCTGGATTAGAGAAATAATGCAATGTATGTATGCAAATATATTAATTATTAATAATGAACAAAATGAACAGGTCATGGAACGTTAAGCTGAAAACAAGTGAGATATATATTAAAACCTCATTTCACCAATGAGAAAACTCAGGCCTAAAGAACTGAAGAGATTTATACAAAAGCGTAAAAAATATAAATGACATACATAAAAACAAAAACATGTCTCTCCACCTCCAGCAGAATATTCTTTGCATTAAAATCCCTTATAAAATTATAATTTTGTTTTTCACTGTAGTTACTAATACTTACTATATAGTACTTACTACTTTATGTACTAGACAGTGATAAATATTGTTTTTACGAAAAGTAAATTCATACAGTATAAAATAAATTATACATTTTAAAACAAAAGTATATAAAGCCAAAAACTCTTAATAAAGCTAACACCAGAGTTAAAAGGCAATTCTGTCCATTAAGCAGTTTATGATTCTGACATTCAGCTCTGTCCAGAGGCTTTTAAAATGGCTTGCTGGGGCCTCCCCAGTGGCGCAAGGGATTAAGAGGCAACCTATAAAACTATGCACAGCCACTGCAGCACGAGTTCGATCCCAGACCAGGGAGATACCCACATGGCGAGGCAGACCTCTTCTGTCTCACCCGCTGCTCCCCTCAGCAGTCTATTTTGGTCAGTCTGCCTGTTCTGCTCCCTGTTCTGTCTCTGGTGAATCCTCTCACCCTCCCGCACCTCTGGCCTGTACCTCAGTTCTTATTTCAGTGAATCCACCTGTTCTCCCACTGTCTCTGGTGAATCCTCTCAACGGACCCCTCCCACCTCTGGTCTAGACCTCACTTCTCATATGCATCAATAAGTAAAAATAAATCTTTGAAAAAAACAAGGCTTGCTAGTCTTTATTTTCTTGACAAATTAAAAAAAGATATACTTATCACCACTGTAAAAGAAAATCAACCTACTGGAACACTCTGATAAAACTATGAACAGTTTAAAATTTGTCACAAAACATGCCACAAATGTCCAGACAAATGGACTTTACAGAAGAAAAACACCTGCCACACATTTAAGGATCAATATTCCAAACATACTATATCACACACAGGAGGTTAGGAGGTTAAAGATTACTAATTCAATTTTTTAAAAAGATTTATTTATTTATTTATTTATTTATTTATACATACAAGCACTGGGTACAGTCAGAAGCGCGGGAGGGTGAGAGAAGCGCAGAGCAGGCAGACTGACGAAGTACACTGCTGAGGGGAGCAGCGGGTGGCAGGAGAAGTCTGCGCGCCATGTGGGACCCTTGCCCGGCGGCTGGGGATCGAATCGGTGCTGCAGAAGCTGCAGGCAGCTTCGCAACCCAGCGCTCAACCGCTGAGCCACCGGGGAGGCCCCTAATTCAGATTTTTTAAGTGACAACAGATACAAGCAATTTGAAGAACTATGACAATAAAAATATGGAGACTCAATTTTTTAAAAAAAGCAAAATAAATTAAGAAGTTTGGGACTCCCTGGTGGTGCAAGGGGTTAAGATGCAACCTATGAAGTTGTCCGCAGCCACTGCAGCCAGCCAGGGAGCAACCCATATGGCGCAGCAGACCTCTCCTGACTTGCCCACTGCTCCCCTCAACAGTGTGTTTCAGTTAGTCTGTCTGTTCTGTTCCCCACTCTGTCTCTGGTGAATCTTCTCACCCCCTGCACCTCTGGCCTGTGCCCCAGCTCTTGTATGCATAAATAAATCCTTTAAAAAAAAAGAAGTTTTTAAACATCAGGTTAAGAAAAAATCAAGAGTGCCAGTGTTAACAAAGGTTGAGAAAATAAGCCCTCCTGTCCACTGTAAACAGAAATGCAAATTAATAACCTTTTAAGAGAAATTTAGCAAAATGTATTAAAATTCATAATACAATTTTACTTGTAGGCATTTAATCAAAGAAAAACAAACGTGTACTAAGATATAGGTCCCGCAGCATTATTTGTAATAGCAAATAAAAAATTAGAAAGAATGTCCACTCACAGATGACATTATCTACTACATTCATTAAAGACTAGACTACAATAATTTCCAGATAGACGATTCTCAGTGTATCTAAAATAAAACACTGCCAGTTAAATCTCTGATAGGCCATAGAGTATAAGATGCACTCCCACTTCATACATATTAAAAAATGATAAAGTGTGCATCTTAGAACTGTATGTCATACAATAAGATAAAAACAAAAGGATATGCATAATATTTGTATACTGACACAGAAAGATGTATAATAAATATTACTAAAGAAAGCAGGCTATGGAATAATAAACTATGATGCCATCTTTTCTGTA